TACGAGATGCACCAGTACTTCGACGGCCAGGGCGGCCAGACCGTCTGCCAGCCCAATTGGTTCCCCTTCCCACCAAAGTGGTGCCCTTGCCAATTATTGGGCAGCTCCTGACATTCCCATGTGCTCTCAGGAATGTCGACTATTACTTCGGCCTGGTCACCACCTGGGCTCGCAACAACGGCGTGTACGTTCATATCTCCGACCTGCTACTTGGATGAGACAACAAACTAACTTTGACTCACTTTGACAGTAAGATATTCCTGGGCGAGTTCGGCATCAACGACTCAGACCCCTGCCTGGCGCTGCTCAACAGGCTCATGACCTTCCTCACGGTCATTTCCCCCCCTAGCGCTTCCTATTGGCTTCTGGTTCTGACATTCCCATCCAATCACCACACGCTGCAGGCCAACGCGGACGTGTGGTACGGTTGGACGTGGTGGGCCGCCGGTCCCTGGTGGGCGCAGGACTATGTCTACCTGCTTGAGCCCAAGGCCAACAGCTCCGACCGCAACCGCCTCATGGCCACCCTTCGTAACTACTTCCCCAAGGCCTCCGCTACCCCGAGCCCCTCGACCAGCCGCTTGCCGCCCAGCCCGAGCGCGTCGACCAGCCGTGTGCCGCCCAGCCCCAGCGCGACGACCAGCCGCGTGCCGCCCAGCCCATCGAGCACTCCCGCGGCTTCTGGCAGTGGACCGAAGTACTACGGCGTGAACCAGGCGGCGCTTGGCTGGGGCTCCAGCGCGCTACCGGGCACGGCGGGCACCAACTTCCCGCTCATCAGCAACGCATCGCTGGATTACTTCGCGGCCAAGGGCATGAACACCATCCGCGTGTCCATCATTTGGGAGCGCCTCCAGCCCACCCTCTACGGCGACTTTGACTGGACCTACGCCAACTACCTCGTACCCTCGCATACCTCGCATATCTGGTGTTGGCGGTTGCTGACTTCAGTGTTGTGGATGTGCAGATCAACAGCGTGAACTACATCACCAATGTCAGGGGCATGTACTGCGTGATCGACCACCGCTACCGCGGCCAGCTGCTCGGCACCTCGGCCGTGCCGATCTACACCATCACCAACGTGTGGTACCGCCTGGCGGGCGTGTTCAAGAACAATCAGCGTGTCATCTTCGGCACCATGAACGAGCCCTACGGCGTGTCGTACGAGGAGGCCCTGCGCGGCGCCAACGCCGCCATCTCCGGCATACGTGGTGTCGGGGCAACTGTACGCTCACTCTCATCAACTTCGTTCCACTGATAGACGTTGTTGACACGACACTCACGACACGTAACAGCAACCGATCACGATCAGCGGCAGCGACTTCTCCGCAGTCAACTCGTGGGTGGGCACCAACAGCCAGTGGATGGGTCCGGCCAACATCACCGACCCGCTCAACAACTACATGTACGAGGGCAGAGCAAAGAGGGACATGACGAGGGACATGACGGTGATGACGATGTGAAGGGTTGGGACATACGCGCCGAGGGAGCGAGCCCACTGGGTCACGCCACCGAACACAGCCGCCACGTCGAGATTGGGTTTGCAGACCGTCTGGCCGCCCTGGCCGTCGAAGAACTGGTCTGTTTCTCCCGCGACTTAATCCGTTGCGCAGCGATTCTCACACCGCACACGCACACGCACACGCGCACGCACCACCGCACACGACCGCGTCTATGCAGAGCCGGAGAGGTGTGTGCACCTGGCCGAGTGCGATCTGGGGGATATGCGGATGCAGTTAGCGTTGCATTGGATGCAGGAGAAGCTGTCACGCACGTTGGTCGAGAAGTTTAGTCCACTGCTGGCACTCGACGAACCCATGGTGCGGCTGGATATATTCCACTAGCGCACACTCACACACGCAACACGAACACGCACCATCGCACACGCACGCACATTCTCACCAAATCCGCACACGTATCAGCACACACACACACACACACACACTAACAATCGGTATTGTCCGCCCAGGCCAGTCCACTGAGTGTGGGCGATACTGAGCCTGCAGATCCACAGCACTGGGCCAATCTGCTACAAGCGTCCAGTCTTGTGGTGGAAGCGCTGTCTACCTTGGAACTTCCCTTGTACATACCACACGGCACACACGGCACACACGGCACACACGGCACACACGACACACGACACACGACACACGACACACGACACTCTCAGGCGATTCCCACTGGCTCACAGACAGAAATCACAGGGAGTGCAGACTGCTTCTCCGCTTCTACAGCGCGTGCGTGCGTGGCCAGCCTACGCAACTCGACCGCGCTAAAGTTGAAGGAGAAGAAAACGAGGAGGAGGAGCAAGACCGTCTACTAGCTGTAGGCGAGTTGTTGGGACGTTTCGTCGCGTTCTGCGCCGAAGGTGGAGTGGACGGCATGGCCACGATTCTCCGGGCTCACGTTGACGCTCTTCTCCCGCTGCCGGTCGGGTCCACGGGGGTCCACGCGAGAGCGGTTCTCGGCGTTGGCCCGACGACAGCGCAACCAGACGCTGGTGGCCGGCACGATCTGCTTCCTGCTTCACCACCGCACTTCTTCCTGCGCCACCGTCCAGTCTTGGCTTCAAGCCAACCAGTCCCGCGTCGACCAATTCCTCCGGCGCGCTTCGGTACGAGTAGTTCATATTTCTGTATTTTCATTTTCATTTTTTTCTTTTAATTTATATTTCTAAGTAGT